AACCTGTAATATTGTGATGTGATTTTTTTGTTTCATTACATTTTATAGATGAAATGATTATCATTACTATAAAACATTATTGTCATTAAATGAGTAATTTATGTGCATGAGTTCAATTGCGCTCATTATGTTGAACTAAGCAATTCCAAATGAGGGATACAACTAATGATTATTTTCATTATGAATTAATCTGTAGATCATTTTCTCTATTAATTTCTTAGTCAAGCTGATGAAAATATTGAAAAATGTCCATCCGTGTTTCCAAGAAGCCAAGTCAAAATGACAAAAACAGAGTAAAAAAACAGGAAGTCTTCAATTTTGAGAGGTTTTTTGGCCATTTTTACATAAAATAACTTTAATATATTAATCAATTACCAAAGACTAATCATTGCACCTCTATTTCTTTTTTTATTTTTTATTAATTGATGCACTATGTCATAACCAAAGACAGACTTAAGGTAGTCAGAACAGAACATACAGACATCAAGAAAAAATAGAATTACAGTTAATGACATCCACACAATATAGTAACAGTGAAGGTATGGGAGACTACAATTCATAAAGAGCAAGATAGACATCCAGATGTTATCTTAACAGACAACACTACATGTCAATTACTTTCTTCTAATATGTAATGGGTGAGAGGGACTTGCTAGTGAATCCCTAATGTAAAAGTCCGCTTTCACATCCTGTGCTCTAAAAAAGCAGCACTTCCTCAGTGATGCTGAGGTCACCCCTGAGGCTGATGATGGTCGATGGGTCTTGTCCAAACAGAGCAAGCAGGGCAATGCCTTTGTTAGGCCATGTAAGACAGAGATACCCTCTGATCCCGAGGCAAGATTGGTTGGCTCGCCGTAATTGAGCCATCTGACTCAGACGGACCTTGCCTTCCACAGCTGAGTAGACCAGTACAAAGAGACTCTGGCTGCTTTCCAGGTTAAGTGTGCTGAGCGTGTGTGTACCATTCCAGCACATGTAGCCTCATGCTGTGAAAATACAAAACACTTTCACTTGACTCTCCAGAGAGACCTTTGGTCTTTTTCTGTTCAGCTTCATTTTGTGAGACCCTAGCCTTCTAGGTGCAAATGTTCCATGGATGCTAAAAATTGCCTGGATGGTTAACAACTCTCAAAATAAACATGGGAGAAGAAGACGGAAAAGCACAGAGACAGACTGAGTGGGGCAGGAGACTGACAGATAAAATGAAAGATTTTCCTTCTGATCTATAAATACCACAGTTAAATAGTTCTGGCAAAGCTTTCAGATTAGCAGCACACTTCAATCCAGACTGTTCTATCAAAGCAGTCTCTGAGGCATCACTCTCAGGCGTCAATTGCACCAAGAGGAAAAAAAAATAGGTCAGGTATGAGATGAGCAGCAGCACAGAGAAATGCAGTGTTTCACAGCCTTCATCAGAAACAAGCGCTTTAAATTTATATTAATGCCAGCAGTGGACCAACAAGGTATCAAAAGTTCAACAAATAAGCTTCTTGGTTATTGAGGACTAATAACTGTGAAGTAGCTCGGGCAGCTTAATTGTGATGCGCAAATATAAATTTCCTTTCTATGGCATAGATGAATGTGCATAAAAGACTTGTGATATAATGATATAATGAGTTCAAAAATTGAGTCACTCAATTTCTTAATTTCCCGCTGATCAGAAGTTTTCTTCTCCCTTGCACATATATTATTTCTCATGACAAAAATACCACATCCTGATTGTGATATCCTGATTGAAACTTTGTTTGCTGTTTAGACTGTTAAAGCACTAATATAGGTGCAAAAGTCAACCTAATCATCTACAAGCCTAATCCCTGAGGTAATCACTGGGTCAGAGTGGTCTTTGACCAGATAATGTTTTAAGATGTGTTGTTCTGGGATTATCTCAATAAATTTAAGCATGTGACATGATATCAAGTTTCACAAATATGGAATAATATGGATACTTCACCATATTAATAAGTGTATGGACCTTTGGCTAATGCATTTATTTTATATTCCAATGTAATACCAGTATGACTAGTCTCAACCAGTAGTCTCTTACTATACCATCTTACCTTACTGTACTGTTGTACTTGTGGTGATTCTGCTTGGTATAGATGCAGATGACTAGAAGAAAAATCACAGATTTATTTATACCTGTACTAACTGCGTTACAAACACCACAGTTTCCAAGACTGTATCACTTATGGTAATGAGCACTCTTTACTTCAGCTCGAGAGTAGAAAACATGTGACATTTGTTAAAGCAAAACATTTTCAAACATCTCTATTCTTGTATTTTTCCAGCAGGTGGATCTTTGAAAAGCTTCTAAATATCATGCTGACTGTCAGTGGGTGACAACAAAGGTTGTACACAGTAAAGAGCAATTCTGCTCACTTCAATCATCACAAAGGTTTTTGTCAGTGCACAGTTGGATGTTGACTTCACCCATGCAAACCTGGCTTTTATCTGTCACATTTAAACAGAAATAGACCGTCTAAAAAGACGAACACACCTGTGCACTTGTGGTTGCAAAATGAACCGTCTTCCTATGACCTGACACAGCATAATCTAGCATGATTTTCATATTAATCCTGACAATTTATCCTTTAACAATTATTTCCTGACATCATGCATGCCTTGAGACAACATGTCTGTTACTATAATGTTGATGCTAACTGTTGCTGGGACTGAAACTGGCACCTTGCACACAGCTGGTGAGTATCTTGAGAATGAAAGGACATCCTGATATGCTGATTTCACACAAGAAAAAAACAATCAGCCCAACTATTTCTGCTGAGTGAATTCTTTAAGCAGCTCTGATGCTGATCATGATTAACTCTAATAGATGGTAGTGCAAGAAGCAGGTGAATATAAAGTAGAGATAGACGAGGGAACACTGCAGCCATCCAACATGTAAATGATCATATGTCTAAACTAAGTATTAGAATTATGTGGGGATAAACAAATCAGCCTTTTCATAACACTCAGATAAATAGCACAGCACTTAATTTGAATAATAGCTTACTGCATTAGACCAGGTGTCAGCTATAACAATAGATGTGTATGTAATTGTCACTGGTAGATTGTCCCCTGTTGTCCCTAGCCATGTGATCTCAGGTTTAAAAGAGGTTACTCTATTCCATAATAACAGGATGCCATGCTTTTAAGATGATAAAGCAAGACCTGAAATTATTATATTATATATTATTATTTCTGAGACTTTCTTCACTTAGCCTGTTGTTGCTTTTTATTCTTGAAATAAGCAAATTACTGGGCATGATTTGACCCTCTTGAGTGCAGATAATACAAGGAGGAGGTGTGAAGCATAGGCAACTAGAGAGTGTGCTGCAATGCCTGTCAACTTGTTGACGTTACGACCCATGAGTACTTAGTAGTTATTACATGAGTACTCAGCACTCATGGGTCAGACCACACCCATCTTCGAACTCTGCCTTCATTTTGATGTCATCTACTCACCTGTTCAGTTTTGTGACTGTATCTTGCACAGTTGTGCTGCTATGGTGGTGACAAAGTTTGTCCACAGAGATATCAACACCTGCCAAGGCAGGGTTTCCAGTCCAGCAGCTGGACGCAGACGTTGGTTGATGAATTTCCCGCTACAGTATGTGTCTCCAGGGACACATTTTTCCATGAGGATACACAGACTCACAAGGTGAAAACAATACCTGCCCCACTGTGACAGCTGTTGTGGCAACAATTAGCTGCACCCACAGACAACATTATCTTATCTGAAGAATAGTAATATTGTTCATTAAGTACATAGAGGATTTGCCCTATAGGTTTTGACCACTCAGTTCATACAGTTTCATACAATGGGCACAAAGCACATCATTTTACATCACCTTGTAAACTGGCCTGCTGGCCCAACTGGCTTTTGCAGAATGCATTTAAAACATGCACACAATGACTTCCAAACCAAGACTATTTCAAAGTGAATAAACCACAACAGCTATTAACTGACCATTTGAATAAACTTACAATAAATACAATTCATCATAAAAAAGGACATAGGTGGAAGCTGTGGCAACTTGCACTGATCAGTTAAGTAACACCAACAAGGCCAGGCAATTAACAACAATAACAACAACTCTGGTGAGTAAGTTGTAAGCTAGTAAGTATGTGTGGATCAAATGTGCTTTTGAGTCCACTGGATTACTTTGTCATACATTTAAATAGCCTCTGATCCATTCTTGCTTAAAAATGACAAATAACAGACTATAAACATAGCTGCTGATTAAGTTTCTGTCAATGGACTATAGTATTAATCAACTAATTGTTGCAGGTTGAACCAAGAGCCAAAAGGTATTTATCATATAAGACAATGAAAAACAGATAAACACACTGTGGCTAAACACAGGCACTGAAGGGAAAGGGGGGTAGCTCTAACTGTGGTGTTATTTTTGTTATTTTGCCCACATTTGGGGTCACTGGGCGGCCATGGCCACACCATTCCAGCTCTAGTAAAACATAAGGACCAGCCACGATTATGACCCACACTTGTCAAAATATCTGGCTCCTTATTTGTGCCAGAGGTCATGACCTATACGACCAAAGTTTCTCATGAAAATACCTAGCTAACTTTAGCTAAAACTAGAAAAGCTGAATTAGATACGTTATAGCTGACCAGAAAATTTTATCTAAACGTTTTACTCACACGTTTATTTTAATTCATAGCTATATTCCCCCCACGATAGCTGGTGCTGAATTCCATTACAAGACTAGCTAATGTTGTTAGCCCCACTTGCTTACGTTTTTGTCAGTATATTCCTACTTTTTAACGATATGAGGCAGTGCGTAACAAACTTAGCCGTTAAACTAACGTCAACGTTAGCAAGCAAGCTAGAAGCGAATGCTGCTGCTTGCTGCTGTTTTGGGGCCCCGAGTAGACGTTAGCTTGTGCAAACGATTAACCTCACGCGTTCCGACAGACACGGTATGACCCCGGTGCCAGCCGTGACACCCCGTGCCAAGAAGTAAATTAGACGTCGCCTTACCGTTGGCGTAAGTCTCGTAGCCTCGCTCTTCTTTCTGGCCGTGCTCCCTCGTCGTTTTTCCTGATATTCTACACCATTTCTGGAAGGTGGCTCGCTGTTACCCGACCAGCGGCAGCAGAAGAGCGGAGAGCAGGGGCGGGCCACACCAACTCTTTTCATTTGCGTTCCAAACTGGCAATGTGACTCAATTCTGGCCAATGAGCAGAGAGTGCTATATTTTGACCCTGCCCCTTGTACTGTCAATCAAGAGTGCCCCCCCATCCCCCATGCGCCTGTCAATTGGCGACCGCTGTCCTCGTCTCCATGGTAACAGAGGGGATTTAACCCTTACTCTGTGTTCTGTTTATGGTTTTCAAAGCTCGGCTCAGGGACCTCACCTGGTTACTTAATAGTGTTAGCAGAGGACCATAACAAACTTTTAAAAGCTGGTGACCAAATTAACTAAGCACATTTACTCAAGTACTGTACTTGAGTACAATGCTACTTTTATTTTTACTTCAGTATTTTCATTTTATGCTACTTTATACTTGTACTGCTCTAAATCTCATAGGAAAGATATTGGACTTTTCACTTCACAACATTTATCTGACAGTTTTACTTACTAGTTACTTTTCAGATTTAATAGTTATGGGGAAAACTTGAAATTGAATGTAATTTCTTAAATTGAGGCTCTGAGTTTCTGCATCTTGGAATTTTTACTTCTGTTATCTTAGCCTATTACAAGATAGATGATTAAAATAATACATGATTTATTAAGATAATACATGAATTTATTTGAAGTTAAGGTAACTCAGATCTGCACAGAAATATATGTGAATAACAATATTTCTAAATAACATAAGTTGATGAGTTAAGTAACAATCTATCTGACATTTTGTCAACTTGATTATTCTGAAACTAAACGTTTAAACGTGTAGAGTACAGTATTTATGCCTTTTGTAAAGTGAACAGTAATAGACATTGCCTGATTGCATTAAAATTTTAATCAAGAGAAAATAAGCACTGTTAAATTGACAGGAAACAAAAACGTTTTTTCCAAATGCAGTCTATTTAATGTACAACCTGTTCCAAATGTAAACAGAAAGTAGCCTCACCACCAAAAAATAAGGATTGACTTGTGCTGTCACTGACAGGTCTTACAGAGCAAAACTAGACACAACTAATTCTCTTATAAACTTTTTCTATTGCTGTAAAACATATTTTTACACAGTGATTCTGCAATAAAACTAACCCACATTTTGAATTCTTGCATCTCATCAACACAAAAAAATGGTGATTTTCTATATCAAACTCAAACTCATGGAATATGTATACAACATTCTTTCTCATCAAAGAGGAGGTATGGGTGTCTTGCGCTAATCCATCAACTCCCAACATTTTTTAAACTATGCAAGACAACATTGTTCAAGCATTGAATCTGTAATGTGTATCCAGATGGAAATGACCGGCTATGGCAATAAAATGGACAGCAATGAATTGCTAATCTTTCAGTGAGTCGCTATTGTGTTGCCTGCAATATGAGGCGGGAGTGCATTCATCCGCCTGCAAATACTGAATAATTTATCAGAATATGACTTATTTGGTTGGCCCCTGAGTTAATTATCTGGTCTTTCATAGCTCCCTTGATACCTTGCTCACAGCATCAGCATGAACACAGTATCATTCCAGTAACTTGGTTAATCCCCAAGGAAACGTTATGGGCTTGCAGCCAGGCAGAGTGTGTGATATTAATGTTGTATTAGAGGCAACACTGAACTCCAACATTGCTCTGCTGGGCCAGAACACACCTTCAAACTGATGTTTACACAATATCATGGGCCAGATGTAATGGTGTGTAGATTATACATGAGAATCTTCATGGAATATTTATGTGGGCTCCCGTTCAGCTTGGTTGATCCTCCATTTCACCAAAGTCAGGGATGGGGTATTTTGTTCTCTATCACTAAACAAGTGTCCCTGCTTTTTCACACTGTGGCTCGCCGCTTTTAAACAGTACAGCATAAAATATAGTGCAAATCTGAAACAGATACACGTGACATTTTAGAGATCAAGTTACACACAAAAACACAGCTGGCTTAAAAAAATAACCCAACTTTAACCTCACCACTGAGTAACTATGGGATAGAACACACACTGGGTTTATTTGCCCCAAGTGCTGGGTTTTTAACCCAGAATGCTGGGTTGTTCATTTGACCCAATTTAGTGCAATTAACTCTATTGATGTTACATATTAATCATACACTGAGTTATTTCCTATCTCATTGCCTTGATACCATTATATCTAATATAATTATAACAACAATGCTATATTATATAACAATTATTGTTGTTTACTTTATTATTTCCTATAATCATGCAAACACTATACAGAAAGAGCCCACTTTAAATGTGCATTTAAATGTCATTTTACAAATTTTTGTGTAAGATTGTAAAATGTTTTCCAAGTTTTTATGCATGAATACAAACACACATAATATACAATACACTACACGATAGAGAAACCCCAGGTGGGGAGGTATTTCTTGGTGTAATTGATGTCGAACATGAAGAAAGCCTTGAAACAAACATCTACAGCCACCAGCTAAGAGTCTGTTTCGATGGCGTGGCCTGAAATAATGGTGAAGGCCTGGTACGTTGTCATCTCAACAGTTGATTGGCCTCTACATTTTGTAAATAATCAGCCATGTTGGTCCCCACCTGTTAATTACACATCAGTTACTTATTGTTGCAATACAACTGACATTTAAGTTATCAAGCTCATTTTATGAAAGTATCAAAAAGCAATAAAAAAAAGGGAGGATCACCAAAAACCTTTGTTGGCAACTACACATATAAACATTGCAAAATATGGCTGAATACAAAGATGTGAAAGGCAAACTCAAATCTTTGCCAACTAATTATAAAAGTTATTTGGAAATATGAGTTTGGACTAATAATATTATTATTGTTAATATTACTTTAATGTTGATATTGTCAACATTAAAACACAAACCCGCACAGCTATTGTGCACACACCAGATTTTACAGGCATAGTGTTTAGTGAATACATTGAATGTCTTTGGAAGCTCTTGTTCATGATTACACAGGACCTGGTGAACATCCTTGGTGCTAAGTGGTGCTAGACAAGTTTAGCTATCAGTAACTTCAATGATGCTCCTGTGTTTAAGAGTATAAGGCAGTGCTGTCAAATCATAGTTTGCTACCAAACTCCAGTAATCACTAGAGGGTCATCTTTGAAGGTAATTTAGGGTCAGAATGTTTGAAAGCAAAAAATAACAAACTGTGACACTATAGATTAGATCACCCACCCAATGAGATATAAAGGCATTTAAATGAGCCACAAAGGAAAAGACTGAAAAACATTATGGCACTGCCTAGGTCTAATAAAGAGTAATAATAATCTCCCCATTCAGAAATCCCCAATTCCATACCCTCATGTACTCACATCTACTAGGACATGTTACATTTTTACAGTACACCATTTCAGAGTTCATAATCTGGTAGCTTGTTAGATTTAGAATAGAAAAAAATCCTTTTATTAGTCTTCAGATCTCTAAATGGACAAGCACCTGAATACATCAGATCGTCGGATATGTCAGATATGTTTTTAAGGTATACTCCTGCTAGACAGCTCAGGTCCTCAGAGACTGGCCTTTTACTTGTGAGGAGGAGTGAGGACAAAGAAACATGGAGAGGAAGCATTCTGCATTTATGGACCTGAGGATGGCACAATCTCTACTTACTTTAAAAGAAATTTAAAGACTTCTTTTTTTTTTTTTATCTTAGCCTTCTCTTAACTTATTTACTTATCTCTTTATTTCGTCTGTTTACTTATCTATCCATTTTGTCCTATTTCAATAGATTTTACTGCTTTTTTATTATCATTAAGCACCCTGTGTTGCAGTCTTTGCAAGAAGGGAGCTACATAAATAATGCTTGATTTGAGACAGCTGATATTTTGAGTATTGACATGTTATTGCACCTGTCATCCACGAGGGGGAGCCATTATGTCACAGTCAGTCTGCAAAGGACTTTTCCAGCTCAGGCTCACAATCATTTTGACAGTTGGACAATGGACTACACTAACACTACCAAGACTGATTTCCCAAATTAATTTTTTAGTAAATGAGTACTATCTTAATGTCTTTGGAAAATATGTTTGTGTGATATGAAAAAATCCATTGATTGTTTTGTTTGTAAAACTGAGACTTGGCATGTGTCTATGAACAGTTGGAAAATATATGTTCAACTAGTAGTTTGTCCTAATTTCTGAAATGGTGTGTGAGAATTTTTTCGTCAGTTGTCATCATTCAGCCTCGTAAAAGGTGTTTAAAATAGCATCCAGGAACGAGGTTAATTGTTCCCTTGAAACAATGAAAATTCCTGAAGTCAAAGGCTGTGTGCTGTTGCTTCCCCACTGGTTGGTTCTGTTGTGTTTGCTTTTATTATTTTCTTCAAAGACGGTCTAAACCACCACCTTGATGCCTTTTTGAACTGTTTTTTTCTGCTTGAAAGAGCTTGGGAGTGACGATAGAGTGGCCTCTAGCATCAAAGTTTGCTTATTAGTTCAAGAATTTCTCAGTTTTCTCCTCATTGTTGATTTGTCTCACTCGGTGTTTTTACAGCAGGGATGACTATTGTGAGGAAGGATATTTGGTCTGATTCAGCCCCAGCAGACATCCCCTCCCTGCTGTATAAAACAGACTTCACAAAAAATGCTTGGGGATTACAGACATCCTGTATGTTGACCTCTGCGTCGGACACTTAATCATGGTGCACTTGCACCACCATTACCAATATTTATACTTGTTTTACAAGCGGTGTTAAGCAATCAAAGGAACTGACAAGCCTATATGTAGCAAGAAAAGGAGGATGACTTGCTGCAAACTTTCTCTGACTGATAATTCAACCAAGAAATTACCATTTGTCTCTGTCTTGTTACTGATCTTGACAGTATGAGTTATGACCCCTCAGTGGCCTCCTGGAAAATCTTCAGAAGGATTTCCTCTGCATCATGTCATTTACTGTTCACTCATATCTGTACATACCTTTTCCTTTTATTTATTCTCTAATAAGACCATGTGGTTCTTTAAAGAGTCATTAGTGGAAAACCTAAGGAC